GAGAGATTGGAAAGGTTGCAATGATGTTATCACCTCGTGAGGCTGATAAGTGATCAGCTGATTATCCCTGAATCTTTCCGGATACAGTTGACTCTGTATAGCTCTCATCTGCTTCTCTAGATGCAACCTCGCGTGACGCTCCCTCTCCAACTGTCGTCTAAGCTCCACCACCTCGCTGTTAACCACGGAATGTCCCTCTGTGGTCACCGTTATTACCGATAATGGTTCGGGGGACATGCTGCCCAATCCTTCGTCACCGCTTTCGCTAACGTGCATGGGTAAACTGACCACGACACCTCCTGAAACGAACAAATTCCATCGAATGTTTCATTAGCCGATCGTTAATGGTATACAACACTTAGGTTAATCTCTAAACCAGCTTCCCATAATAACGTGGATTTGCTAGATGAAGGACAAAGCAAGAAGGGAAATGATGTTCAGAGATGTACAAGATGAATTGTAGGTAAGTAAAAGAGAGAAGAAAATTAAGAGAATACAGTCTTCTGAATTTGAAGAATATAAATGTAAGGATAAAATAGGCCACAAATGTAAAACTACGAATTTACGAATTTACGCTGAACATAAAAAATGCACGTTTACACGCAAATGGTGATAAATTAGCCAGTCGAGAGCAATTTCATCCAATTTTATCGAACGCGTGAGATTGAAAATTTAATCGCGCCCGCGAGACAGTCAAAGGAAAGTAAACGAAATTTCGATTCTATCGATCGAATTGCGAACTTTCTACTCCCTCTTGCGAACGGAATAGAATATCCGGCAGAGCCTGCAGGAATGTAATTACTCCCGCGAAAATGACGAACGACTCCTCCCCTATATTAATCTCCCGCGGCACTTTTCGACCGACAAATTAAAAAATTCCACGACGAATCTTCGCGATGAGTCAGTATCATAAAGTAAGTTATTCTGATGACGCGGGTAAATTAGTGATCGTTCGTTCCCAGATTGCGTCTTTTCCCTCCAATTGCAAGAACGAGAAGTTGGCTTTACGATCGTGACGGAATCGTAAAAATGTTTGTTTCGCGGTTTCCTTTTTTTTTTTTTTTTTCTTTTTTTAATGCTTTCCGATGTCAAGCGACGTTTTTATCACGTTTTATTCTTTTCTTAAACGGCAGGATACGATTCGTAAAATTTAACTACTTGCTTGGCGAAGTTAGTAAAATTAATTATATTTCTTCCTTGAATGTAAATTCCATGTAATTGTAATTTTATATATATTGGGTAGTTAGATTGACAATTTTCTCACCTTGATTGTCCGGTTTGCGTTTCTTGATCGGAACATCGCCACCCTCGTGTTGATTCACCAGTCGTTTCAATTGACAGTTCTGTGACAGCAGTTGGGTTTTCTCTTGTTCCAGCTGGTATATGTATTCGGCAGTCTGCTGAAGTATCGCAGCCTGGAATAAAAAGAAAGAAAAAACATCGTCTTAATTAAGTTGAATCCTTATAATTTTATTACTACAAAATTACTCTGGAAAAATAAATAAAAATTATCGCTAGTGAATTCAATAGAACACCGGAATGTCGGTCGATGATTTAGAAAATAATTTTTAGAGCATTGGTTGCAGTTATTTTTACCGCCGTGTTAATTTCATTGAAATCAATACCCATTCTAAATTAATATTAAATAATCCCTACGTTGCGTAGAACCATTGTTCTAACTATTCATCGACTTAAATGGTCGCCATTTTGGAGAACCAAGCATTAACCTCTTGCGCTGGAATGACACGCACGTCGAGAACTTTTTTGTCCCAAAATTACAACATTTCCTCAGTTTTAAGTATGTTTAAAGTATAACCCAGGCAAAACAAATAATAAATATATTTCTTAGTAATAACTTTTATCCGGTGATATTATACCGACTGTGGTTCAAAAAGAAAGCGACGAATTATTGTATACAGTTTGGTCACTCGTTATGG